AGAGTTATAGATGAAACTAATCTTCAACGGTGCACCAGTTTCCTGGTGAAATTAATTAGTTTCACCTGCAACTCTAGTTCATACTTTGGTGGAGTATCACTCAACACCACACCAGAGTACACATTTACAGAGCAGACCTCGAAGTACTATTAGAAAATAACTTGGAGCACTAAATCAATATTACTTCAATTAATAAAAAAAAGTTACGTACAATTACTAAAAAAAGTTGGTTTATATTATTTCACGTTTCTTTATATGTAATTAAGGATGCATTTAATTAACAACAAATTTGCATCAATTTAAACCACTTGATAAAAAATTGTATATAATATCTTAATGATGCAAAAATAAACTCTATTTGTCGAAAATTAATTTATATTTACAAGTCAGCAAAGAAATTATTGCTCTGACCTATGGTAGACATAGATTTCCCTTTCCCTTTATTATTATAATCAGTATCAAAATCAATAGACTCCATCTTTATATCAGTTTCATCACTGTGACCGTCAGTTTTGTCTTCATAAAGATATCGAATGTCCCAGAATTTCACGAAATTGTCATGAGAACAACTAGCAAGAAATGTACTGTCAAAAGATTTTCGAATACATTCAATAGGGAAATCTCCGTGATCACCAATAACCCCATGAAATTTGTTCGGAAGAATTTCAACGACCCTAATGTAAAATAAAAATGAATACATATTTAATAAAAAAAAAAAACATAACTAGAAGAAATAAAATTACCTTAATATACCATCACTAGACCCTGTGCACACCAGATCTTCTGTTATTTTGACAATAGTATCTACTGAACTTGGGTGACCTACAATTCTATCATTGGAATCGCCCCATTTTTCCCATGAAAATAAATTGATGACACCGTCTTGAGTTCCAGTAATTACCTTCCTACCATTCTGCATGTATAAGTTTTGATAAATATCATGTCAAAAGTTCTATATGGATTATTCTAGCATATACCTTCACAACTGTAACAGATAGTAATTCATCATCTTGATTATCTGACATAGCTAACAAGTTTGGCTTACGTATGTCATATACAGATAGTGTTCCATCTCCACTAAGTTCATATAGACAGATGTTAATAAACAATGTAACACATTCATTTATTGCTGGAAATCTATGTACCTTGTTGAAACAAGTATTTTAATATCATCACGAAAGGAAAAATCTGAAATAAAATCCTCATGATCGGAATATTCCATAAGTTGATTGCCAGTTCGTGTGTCCCATATCTACCAAATCTGGAAAAATTAATACTTTTTATATAATGAATATTACTATAATAATATGGAATAATTAATTACCTTAATGCAACCGTCATCGTCGCCTGTGGCCAGCGAATTTTCATTCAGACGTAATATACAATTAATAGGTTTACTGTTCAAGAAATGTCCTTTTTTGTTATTGAAATTAGAATCTGATGTTTACCAATACCACTTGTACATACTCATGAGCATCGCGTTTCTTTGTCAAGACTTTTCCCGTCTCTAAATCAATAACTTGAATTGATTTATCTTTAGACACGCTAAATAATGCTATACATATGAAAATACGTTGTTGGGATGATGAGTCCAAAAATGGAGAAATTCTTGATTTTTTTTTTAATATAAGAAATCCAAATATTGTAGATATTAACAAAGATTACCAGTTCCGTCATAGCTAAATTCCAGCCCACGGCATGATTTTTTATGTGGACGAATTGATAGCAAATTAACGTTTTCTGCATCGGTCTCGCAAAAGTATCGGTGACTAATTAAATCAATTGATAAATAATAATTTAGTAGAAAAAATCTTTCCCGGCGTTGACAAACTCTAAAATTGGTTACTTTCAATATTCGTGTTTCTATTTTATATCTTAATATTAAACCAAGTATCTGAGCGAAACTGGTATAGCTGATTTTATATATTTTACTATGTGTGTAAATATTTATTACCAAAAAATTTCGCCAGTAATCAAACCAGAAGCGATAATATTTTGTTGGGGATGAAAGGCCAAGTCAAACACTTGGTTGTCAAATTTTAAAGGATTGGGTTGTAAGATTTGGCTCTAAAAATAATAAATTAACAACTAAATTTTCCAAATTTTCTCATTTAATTAAATAGAATCACTAACCATTATCGTTATATAGACTGGGCTATCTAATAAATTTTATCGTTATTTGCTTTATCAAGATTTTGATCACATAGTCACGTGCAGAAATATTTAGTTTTAAAAAATAAGATTGTATCATACAATATAAGTTTATTATAATCCTGCAATCTTAACAAAGGAACCTTTTCAATATGGATCCCGCACAAGTACCTAACCTTTACAAGCAGCAACGGGGGCCTCCGAAGGTTAGTTATAATTTCTTACTCTTTTGCTTGATTTACCATTCACTTGTCTAATGATTTGTGTACTATATCAGATTAAAAATAAAAATCCCGCCCCGATCCAAATCACAGCTGAACAAATCCTTCGAGAAGCTAAGGAGCGTCAAGAAGCAGCTAAGAAAGCACCTCGTCAAAAGATCTCTGATTTAGAAGAATTATCAGAGTATCGTTTGCGTAAAAGAAAAGAGTTTGAAGATACCATTCGAAGAAACCGCTTAAACATTGGAAGTTGGTTAAAATATGCTGCTTGGGAAGAAAGTCAAAAAGAGTTGAATCGGTATTAAAATTTCTGTATTAATTTAATCGATCTTCTAAACCATTTTCCTATTGATTAACTTTTGATGTTTAGAGCGCGTTCAGTGTACGAAAGAGCACTTGATGTGGATTCTCGAAATGTAACTCTTTTTATTAAATATACTGAAATGGAAATGAAAAGTCGTAATATAAATCATTCGAGAAACTTATTTGATCGAGCTGTAACTTTATTACCACGGGTAGATCAATTTTGGTAAATATTCTTTGATTCAGTTTGTAATTTTGTACGAATTGTCTAACGTTTATAATTTTTAAAGGTATAAATACACTTATATGGAAGAAATGTTGGGTAATGTGGCAAGTGCTCGTCAAATCTTTGAACGCTGGATGCAATGGGAGCCTGATGAATCGGCATGGAATTCGTACATAAAAATGGAAAGGAGATATAATGAGATTGATAGAGCCAGAGCAATTTATGAAAGATTTGTTAATGTACATCCAGAACCAAAAAATTGGCTTAAATGGATAAAGTTTGAAGAAGAGCAAAATAATTTAGGTATATAATAAAGTGTTTATAATTTTACTCAAATTTTTTTTTTAATTGACTGAATCTTTTATTAATGATTTTTCAGAAAAATGTAGAGAGATATTTAGTCATGCAATTGAAACCTTGGGTGACGATCATATGGATCAAAAAATTTTTATTGCTTTTGCGAAATTTGAGACTAGATTAAAGGAGGTTCGTTAACGAGAGTGCTTTATATATATATTAATTAATATTACAACAATAAAAAATAAATTTAGTATTATTTAATATTACTAGTTTGAAAGAGCTCGGGTTATTTATAAATATGCTTTAGAAAAGCTGCCTCGATCAAAATCTGAATCGCTTTATAATGCATATACGCAATTTGAAAAGCAATATGGTGATAAAGATGGAATTGAAGACGTTGTCGTTGGGAAACGAAGGGCACAATATGAAGAGGTATGCATAAATCTAACTTTAACTCACATACATTTGCCTATATTCATACTATTTCCATTATATAATATCCGTATCATTATAGGAATTAAAGACGAATCCAAAGAACTATGATATATGGTTTGATTATGCACGATTAGAGGAGAATGCAGCTGATTCACAGAAAGTTCGAGAAATTTATGAACGAGCAATTGCACAAATGCCACCAACACAAGAAAAGAGATTTTGGCGACGATATATCTATTTATGGATTTACTACGCCCTTTATGAAGAACTCGAAGCAATGGTAGGCTTGGTACGATTATTATTTTTATTTAATAATTTGATATTAATTTTTTTTTCTTTCCGTATTCAAATGCTTATACAGGATTATGAACGGACGAGACAAATATATCAAGAATGCATTAAATTAATCCCTCATAAAAAGTTCACATTCGCAAAGATATGGCTACTTTATGCTCAATTTGAAGTACGACAGCTGGATTTACAAGCTGCTAGGAAGGCGCTAGGAAATGCCATAGGTAACTTTGAACCTCCGTTGTTATATTAATATTCGTTGCAATTTAAGGCATTTTATATCATATCATACTTTTTTTTTCTTTTTTTTTTTTGTTATAGGTATTTGCCCAAAAGACAAGCTCTTTAAAGGATACATTGAATTAGAATTACAGGTAAAAGTTGATTGTTATAATAACTATAAAACAATGAAAATTACTGACTTTGATATGATCACTATTTAAAAGCTTCGGGAATTTGACCGATGTAGAATTTTATACACAAAATATTTGGAGCATAATCCAGCAAATTGTTATGCATGGATAAAATTTGCAGAATTAGAAAGAATGTTAGGTGATTACGATCGCTGTCGTGCAATTTTCGAGCTTGGTGTCGAACAACCTATATTGGATATGCCGGAATTATTATGGAAGGCATATATTGATTTCGAATTTTCTGAAGAAGAATTCAATAAAACAAGACTATTATATCAACGATTGTTGGAAAAGACTGGTCACGTTAAAGTTTGGATTAGTTTTGCACAGTTCGAATTAAATGCCGATGAAGGTGATCGTGAAGCAGCCGTTGAAAGAGCTCGTAAAGTGTTCGAGCAAGCCTACGAAAGTATGAAAGAAAAAGAATTAAAGGAGGAGGTAAAGTCAAATATATAATCTATGTACCCTTTTTTTTGTTCAAATCGTTTAACTGCTTTATATTTCTATATAGCGTGTTCTGCTTCTTGAGTCCTGGAAAGAATTTGAAAGCAATAATGGCACAGAAGAGATGTTATCTGCCGTTGAAGCGAAAATGCCGAAAGTGGTTAAGAAACGACGTAAAGTGGAAGAAACAGAAGGACAAGGAGTCGTATGGGAAGAATACTTTGATTATATTTTTCCCGACGATCAGGCTCAACAACCGAATTTCAGGCTATTGGCTATTGCACACGCTTGGCGCTCACAGGTTTGTTTTATTTAATAATTAAGCTTTGGTGCCTTGAAACATTTTCATCACTTACACTACATTACATTTTATTTCATTATCCAGCAAAATAATCAAACATCCTGAGCTAGAGTTGCGCAAAACAGGACCCCTAACAGAGGTACGAGGTGAGCTAATAGTAAATTTTCAGGCATTTTGTCCGCTTTAAGACTTCGAATTTTGTCCATTTTAAATCCTGTACCCTTTAAATTCCGATTTATATTAGATATTTATTTCAATAAAATCATGCCCACTTTAAGCATGACTTTTTTTTTCTAATGCCGGTTTAATAATACTAGTTTCAATTAAAAAGCCTTTTTAATAATATAACCTTGTCCGGTTTAATACTCGTACCTTATCCGGGAACCTCCTTTGATTTACGACATTACTACGTAATTTTGGTCTGGGGTTCCAAAGCCAAAATATGTGTCTCATTTTCGATCAGTAGCGTCAAACTAAATTTATTAGATTTGTAATAATAGATACAATGCACACAATAATGTTATATTACATACAATATTAAAAAATTCTCAGGTGTCCGTTCCAGGACTGAATAGATATCAAGGAATAGAGAATATGTAAGAATCTTTTTTTACGTACAATTATTAATCTAAAATCCTTGTTAATTTTGGATGAAATTTATGATTAAGGATTTTTGAAAACTTAAAAAAAGGTAGAAATTTTATTAATGTCAGTCGGAACTTGAAACAGTAACTTCTTAAATTCAGTTTTATAAAATGAAAGCTTTTCGGACCAGAACTAATAATGTCTTCGAATCGCAAATGATACAGCAATAAAAGTTTTGGAGTTTCAAATTAACTACCACAACAAAATTTCACAATTTAATGTTATATACGGGAGGCGACAAAAGTATCCAGAATACGTAATTCAAGAAAGGCTAAATTATGAATGACGATTCAAAGTATTGATTTAGCCCAAAGTTATCAAAAAGGTTCAGCCGTTCTTAAGATACGTATCAACATTATACGTTTCAACATTACGTAATATTGCCATTTCGTTTCCAATTTCACAAAGAATGCGCCATCAAATAATGCCAATAATATATTTCAAGAACGGATAGGTCTTAAATCAATGCTTCGGATATTCTTAAATTAATGTTTCGAACATTCTTAAATTAATGTTAACCATCGAAAATGTTTACCACTTCTTGAGATACGAACATTTTCGTAAATTCAATTTTCATTACCAGTTACTGCAGCATATTGTTGATCCTTTTTCTATAATAAATATCATACAGTAAAACCTCTATAAGTGCACCCTTTATAAGTGCACATAACCATAGCTGCCGCAACAAATTTGGACCGGCAGATTCTCGATTTTAATTGGCTAAGAGTGACGATCAAAAAATTAGGCCGGAATTACTCATAATTTTACTAATGAAATCATAGCCGCCCATCAAGTGATAAGAATTTCTATTTTTGTAATAAAAAAATTAAAAAGTTAATTCCGGCCGGAATTTAGTAAACAATTTTGTAATGTG